GACAGTAATGACAACTAATGCAATTGTTACTTTTATTATTGCTTTGTTTATCTTGAAGATATCACCACAATTTTCATGTCGGAATATAGCAGTCGCCAATTATTACAACAGAAACTAGACACTAACTTATAAATTCGCTCATTATTTGATAAAAAAAAAAAAAACTATAACAAATCGTTGATTTTTGACGGTTTTTTTATGATTAACAGTTACGGTAACGAGTTACTTTATTAATAGATAATGGATTATTTCTAAAAACTTTTTCAAATTTGTTATAAATCATAACCGAATAAATAAAATGACACAATAGGGTAATTATACAATCTTTCTAGTTTATATAAGAAAATGATATCATTGTGTGTAAGAGTGATATAGAAAAAATATTGTACTTTTCCCTGACACATCTCACCGTCCCAAATAACTCCAATGAGAAGGTTGCGAATTTTCCAGCTGTCAATTTAAGAGGAATCGTAGATCGATACACGATAAACATCAATTCCTTCGCATCCTTTGATGGTAGATCGTACCATTGGCATTCGTATACGCCGTACGCCATTCCGGTACTCTGTAAATTAAAGTCCACACAATTATTATGTCACATGTCATTATTAAGGTTACAATTTGTTGTTTACCTCTGCTAAAAGTCTTTCAGCTGAATAGCAATAAGTGTACATAGGCGTCAACACCAATGAGACATAAAACAGAAGGGCAACCATTTTAATAACAGATATCTCTGAGTTGTTGTCGACTATGTTCTGGAAATAATGAAATTATTTTAATTATTATGAAGTTATTGTAAAATAACTTTAAGAGAGGGTAACTGGGTTTAATAACTGAAGGCTCAGATTGCTTGAAAATCGTGCTTGTTTTTTCACCATTTTTTATGACAAACTGAATGAATATGCGAAAATGTTATTTTGACGTGTATTTATACAACATATAAAGAGAAGAAAAATATAATTTTGATGATTAAATATAAGTACATGGTACATGCAGTTAAAATATATTTCGTTTTTCTTTTCAAGGTCGTCATTTTGCAGTAATATCTTGACTCTCGATG